ACTGAAGACTGAGAGAATACCAGTTCAAGAGGCAAAGGACAAGGTTGCTTTCAGAGTCAATAGTCAGTGACAAACCTGGAGCAAAATGATCCTGCCTCTACTTTTGTCAGATGAGGTCCTGAGTCTCAAATTCAGCCCTTCTTCCCCATATCACTTCCCCAATTTTTAAAAAAATCTTTATTTTATTAATTTTTATGTGGTGCTGAGGATCGAACCCAGCACCTCTCACATGCTAGGCAAGCACTCTACCACAGAGCCACAACCTCAGCCCCCACTTCCCCAATCTTAAAATGGTGTTTTGGTCTTCACTGCAGAAGAGTAAAATATCCCACCTCAAATACATTTCCTTGGTATATTCTGAATTGTTTATTCAGAGAAATTATAGTCACAGGAATGGCTCTGAAAAGCTGTCCTTTTGTCAAAGAAATTGACATCTCTCTACACCAAAAAGTGTCAGATGCAGACAGAGCATTTCTTTTCTTTTAAGTTGTAGTTGGACACAATATCTTTATTTTACTTATTTATTTTTATGTGGTGCTGAGGATTGAACCCAGTGCCTCACATGGGCAAGAAAAGTGCTCTACCACTGAGCAGCAGCCCGAGCCCCAGACAGCATTTCCATCTGATGTTCCCCTGTCTGCTTCAGAGGGATCTTTCCATGCACAAGAAGAGATCAGGGGTCTGACACCTGACCCAGACAGGTGGCTGTTCCCTGGGAGACTTCCTCTTCACACAAGGCCACCCTTGCTCACTGTATACATTGTTCTCCCTGGAAAAGAGGTAGATCAAGTTTTAGAATGATATGAAGTAGGTGGGTAGTCACACACCTGTGATACCCCCCCCCCGAACCCCCCTCCTGTGACATAGCTTCCTTGAGAGGTAGGGGTAGATTTCTCTTTGCACTGTCAATCATTTTATATAAATATTGTCTCCAGGAATTCTTCCCTCCTGAACTACAGCTTCAGCCACATTGCCACTGCTCACTGGTGGGCTCCTCTTGCCTATTGCTGGCTGGCCATGTGTGTAAGGGTTCTCCATTATAATGGAAATACTGGTGGCGGGCTGGAGTGGCCTCCTTGTGCTATCACATTCTGATGGCCCTTGTTCTACTTCATTCCAAAGTAGCAATCTGGCCACAGTCCTCCAGAGTAACTTCTGCTTTATTCTGCCTACACCTCCCCATACACTCCAATACACCCTTCTTCCACCCCAAATTCCACACTGTATTAACTTCAAGCTCTGAGTGACATTGTGGGGGTTTTTTTGTTTGTTTGTTTTGTTGTTTGTTTGTTTTGGGCCAAGTTCTCTTCTCTCCTACTACTCTCACCTGGCTAATTCTAGCAAGGCCCTGCCTGACCCAGCTCAACCCACAGAGCAGGCTGCCTCTTAGGAAACTGGTGTGCTGATTCACAGCAGGTACACAGGAGGGGCACATCTCAGCAAAGGAGGCATACCAGATAGCCTGAGTAAAGCTGTCTCTGCCAAGGATGAGGATGTGAGGGGTTCATGGTTCTTTGATCCTTTAATAACAATCACAGTTTTTCTTATCTGTGATTCATATTTTTCCTTATGAGGTATTTAGGGTGGATTTTCTTTAGGTCTGAGGTCCAAAGAGGAGAAGAGAGCAGAAATGAACATTTAGTGAACATGAAGCAGGAATTAGGTCCTTGCAAACTCTGGACTGTAACACAGCAGTTAAGGGCCTGGGGTTGGAATAAGTCAGTGCTCACATCTACCCAGATCTGCTAATTACTAGCTCTCTGACTTGGACAAGTCAGTGAATGATAAATAGCACCTGCTGCATGGAGTTGCTGGGAGGTTCACATATGAATTGCTTAGTTTGGGCCCAGCAGATATTATCTCTTACCAGGCTCCTTTTACAGATAAGAAAACTGAGTCTCAGAGAGACTATGCTGCTAATACACACTGCTTGTGGATAGTAGTCCAAGTACCAAAGTTTCTTGAGTCATTTAGTATCATCCTCACTTTGAGAGATTATCTTTGGGCTAAAAACACTTCCCCTGGAAATTATGTGTGTGTATTGGCGGGGGGAGTGACAGGAAGAACAATAAGCAGGGGATATTCTGTTAGACCCCTCTGTCATTGATCTGTGAGGGCAGCATAAGGTTCTCAGCAATCCAGGCACAGAGAGGTAAAGTAACCTTCTCAAGGCAGTACCTCATGAGATAGATAGTCACTAGTGGCAGTGACCTCAAAGAACTTCCCAATTCTGTTTCTGCTCAATTGTGTCCCAGAGTCCTGGGGAACAGCAGGATGGTGTGGTCCTCAACATAGGCCCAGAACTTGGTCTTAGGCTCTCTGCTCCCATGGGAGGCAGCAGAATGCAGAGGTTAGGACACTGGCTCTGCGGTGAGGCAGAGCTGCTGGAGGGGTCTTGGCATCATTGTTCAAAAGTGGGGAGACATGGACCAAGCACTCGTCTCAGCCTCATTTCCACATCTATAAATGAACACAGTCACAGCCTCCAAGAGTTACAATTGGATAGGAATATAGGTGAACTGTCAGGTGTTTCATAAATAGTAGCTCTAATTCATATTATGTTTGTTATTACCTGTTGAAGAGGATGGTTTAATGTCCTAGAAGAAAAGCAAACCATCTACCTTGTATACCACCTACCTGGAATAGAAATCCACGCAATTCACAAGCATTCTCATGAGCTGTGGAGACATCTTTTCAGCCCTGTGTTTGGACTGAAAGCTGCCCAGCCATTCTGGATGGCTGCCTGGAGGCTTACCCCACTGCTCAGATGCAGATCTGAGCTCTTTCACTTTCATGAGCAGCCATGGCTGAGGTATCTAGGAGAGTCAAGGTCTCCAGGGTTCCTGGGCAGTGACCTGCCTGCTTTCTTACTGTTCTGGTTCCAGTCACAGCTCTCCCAGAATTCCTTCTGAAGAATGGAGGTTGGTTTGGGCTCTGGAAGTCAATGAGTCCTACAAAGACAAAGTCCTCCATGAGGATTCACAACCAGCAGCCCTCTGGCCAATGTTCTCAGGCCCATATGAGTTTTAGGAAAATGTTTCTTTGGACAACGTTGGCTTTCTTGTCTTCCCCAATTTGGTGCTCTTTAATTGCTTAGGATGATATAGGGTTAAGAGTACCAATGTTAGAGGGAGGAGCCTGGTTCCAGTAGTCTTTTAAAAATACTCTCTCTCCATCATGTACCTAAGTGAGGCAGCCTTTCTCTGGAGCACTGTGCCAAGACTTCTCAGGGATTAGGATTGTCTCATAATCCCTCCTGACATCTCCATTAGATAGCTGCCCCTAACAGATGAGGACATCCAGGCACAGAGAGGTAAAGTAACTTTCTCAAGGCAGTACCTCATGAGATAGTCACTAGTGGCAGCGAGGAAGGAGCCTAGGGTAGGACAAGGCAGAGAAGGAAAAGACAAAAAGGAACAGGGAGGAATAAGAGATAACAATCTTATAGAGCCTATTTCCTAAGCCCCAGGGATATGACTTATTTACCTCTACCCTCAGCTTTGCCAGGAGGAGGTTTGGGGATGGATGAAGGTCAGCAAGGATTGAAAGGAAGATTCATAAAGATGCTAAAGGCGTTTGGGAGGATTGGGGTGGAGGTGGGGGAGGACACTTAGCAGCAGACAGGATGCAAAAAGATTTATTCTTTCCGTGGAGGAAGTAAGAAGCCCAAGAGGATGCCTTTCTCAAGGGGTCACCAGCAATTATTTAATTCCATACCTGTGTTTGCATTCCTGGTGAGCTCAGTCTATTAAAGTCGTGAATACCTATGAGCCGAATGCAGCCTGTGGTCAGTGAGACATCAAGGCACATCCCTGGTTCCCTTAGTTACTAGTTTGCTTTAATTTTTGAATTAATGAACAATTTCAGATACCAGAGCCTTGACCCACGGAGAAATGCAAGGTTTAGCCATTTTCTTATCTCTTCCACCAGGTGATTTTCATCCCCTCCCCGCCCTCAGCCCAGTGTCTCAGCACTTTCCTCTTCTCTGTTCCTGAAAGAATCTGCATTTCCTCTGCCCAGCTCCGGTTCTGGCTTCCTGTATGCTAAGCCTCTTGCAGTTATCATCATGTCTTCAAATACATTTGATAGGTTCAGGAAGCTGCACCGGAGGGAAGATGGAACCTGCAATCAATATTAAAAAAAAAAAAAAAGGAACTATGTTTCTAAGAAAAATGCATCACTGGTTTCCCACAGGAGTTGTTTGTGTACCATATACCCTAATATCCGGGGGGCAATGTATCTAATCTTTTGTGCTTGGCTCTCCCTAGCCATCTCAACAAGAAAGAAAATAGATCTTTTACCAGCTTTCTGATATTCTATAGTAAAGACTGCCTTTCCTTTTAACCCATTCATTCATCAGACAGCACAAAATAAAATATACACCCCCCCCCCATCTATTTCTCCCGGCTACTAGTTTAGTATATTTATGGTGCATGAGTCATCGAGCTGCTGTCTGATTGGATAAAAACCAAGCACCCCTGAGACCGTCAGTCAATTACAGCTATTCTCAGCTTCATTCACAGATTTATTAGCTTGCACACACGGAGAGAAATTCATTCGGCAAAGTTCATTCATAAAAATTTCAACACTCTGCTTATCATTCTGCACATCTCAGCCTTCTGCTGCGAATGGGCTCCTGAAAGAAGCTCCAAGAGTCCGGGAGGGAGGGAAGCTCTGAGGCAGGGTGGGCAGGCTGGGAGGGAATCTGAGGAATACGGCGGGGTGGGGTGGGGGAGAATGGAGGGATCGGGAGTCAGTGAAACAATGCGGAGCAGCTCCTGTCGCTAGTACTCCTGGCTTGTGGCCCAGAATGGGATGCAAGACCAGATCTTCCAAGAGAGGGCAGCCATCAGAATCAAAGAACCCAGACAGAAGGGCCTTTGACTCATATATACATTATATTTTTCCTCTTTAAATGAACAATCACAGGAACAGATAAAGGGTTAATAGGCCAGTCATTGCCCCGCCCTGTGGGAGCAGGTTTGAAAGTTCCTGTGAGCAGAAGGGGAGGCTGGGGGAAGGGGGGGCAGGGGTGCGTGCTACATATTTCTGCTAGATTCCTGCAAGGCTAGAGATGCAGCTGGACCGGCTGGCCAGTGTTCTACTGGGTTCTGTGCGGAAGAGTTGGCGGTGAGGGATCCCTGTCGCTGGTAGCCTGGGTGCAGGATTTCCCAGCAAGGAATCCGAGGCGAGAGCACCGGGCCCCTGCCTCGGTCAGGGAGGGACTGAAATCAGAGATGGGGAGGCGTTTCCCCCTGGGCTGTCATCCTTAAGCGTCCGGAGCCGAGGCGGGCAAGGGTTAGAGCAGAATTAGAGAGGTGGCTGCTACTCGATTTGCGAATTGCACGGGGCGTTGAGGCTTTTGATGTCCATACCGGTTATCTGCCAGACAACGAAGCGATTTATGCTACAATATCCTGTTTCAGCACTGCCAAGGCTATGCGAGAACGCGGCCAGGACAGCCTGGCAGGACTTGTGCTGTATGTAGGACTCTTTGGGCACCCCGGGATGCTGCACAGGGCCAAGTACAGCCGCTTTCGGAACGAGTCCATCACGTCTTTGGATGAAGGCAGTCCTGGAGTCTCTGTCGGGAACAAGGGCTCGCCGCAGCCACCCCACCCTGGTCTGGCACCTCACCTGCCGGCTGAAGATGCCACCTTGCCGACCCAGGAGAGCCCCACCCCACTGTGCACCTTGATCCCCCGCATGGCCAGTATGAAGCTGGCCAACCCTGCCACTTTATTGAGTCTGAAAAACTTTTGTCTGGGTACCAAAGAGGTGCCCCGGCTGAAGCTCCAGGAAAGCCAGGATCCGGATCCCAGTAGCCCGGCATCCCCTGAAAGCAGTCTGAATAAAATCGGGTCTGCACCTGCAAGGCAGCCGGACCTGTTGGGACACAGGGTGACCTCCTTAAGCCCTGATGCTTGCCCACTTCCTGGTCCTGGAGAACCAACCCCCAAAAGCAGGCAGGACAGACACTTTCTGCAGCCCCTGTTGGGGATGGGCATGAACTTCTGCGTGAGGGTAAGTCCATTTCCCTCTCTGCACTCCTGAAGACTCTGGGGGAAAGAGACATTTTCCCTGATTTCTGCAAGGGGCTGTACATTACCTGCCTGGGTTCTAGATTTGAACAAGACATTGTGCAACTGGGCCAAGGGAGAGGGGAGCTGGCTTTACACATTTTCCAATAAATATCTGGCATGTACCAGAGTCAGAAAGACAACCTTTGGTTCAAGGGCATGAACTGGTGCTAACTTGTAGATAGTTGCTTGTGTAGGGACAACTTTTGATACAGACAGCTGAGGTGGCACCTTCTTGTCTCCATTGGACCTAACATTGTGGCAAAAAGAGTCAAGGGTTTCAAATTTGAATAGTGGTTGAGACTTGGTAGATTATAATGGCTGTTGTATTTTGCATGAATCCAATAGAAATTTCTGTTAGAGAGGAGCATGTGGTATATAAGGGAGCTTGAATTAGTTCTGAAAAAATTAATTCAACATTTAACAAACACTTCTCAAAATATGGCCGAGTCTTCAACCCTTGTGCTAGGAGGAGGTCTTAGCTCCTCGGTGCATATTTATTGCCTACACTGCAGCAAGTAGGCCTTGTCCATGGGCTACGTGAAAAATCAAGGCTCTCACTAGCCTTGCATCTGTCCTTGCCCAGTCAAGATCTGGCCCCTTGCCCTTTTAAAGCTCAGATCCCAGTGAACACTTGTAAAATAATAAGAGAACAATGCTTACCTATGGATATCTAGTGTGATAATGCTGAGGGAATTCAGAAAAAGGGAAAGGTGCTTGTGATCTGGATTCATTCATGTGGTAAAACTTCAAGGGAAGGTGCATCTTGGAAAAAATATCATGTCTAGAGGAGATTCCTGGAGGTGCAAGAATAGGAGCAAAGACATTGTGGTGGTGGCAGGGGACCCTCCATAGGGCTATACAGGGCTTCCTTGAAGAGAAAGGAGGATGCTGGAAAGTGGAGATAGTGGGTGATAAAGAGAGTGGCTGGTATCACAGTGCTCAAACAAACATGAATAAAGACAAGTATAGACCCTGCATAGTTTAGGGATGAGGGGCAGTTGTCCAAAGCTCTCCAATGCCAAATGAGAGGGTTGTAAACACTCTGAATGGTGAACAAGAACCCTCCCTGGTCTGTAGGCAAATCATGACTTGATGGCAGTAGTTTTAAAAGATCAGACTATTGATTTATTGGACATGAATTGAAGCAGGGAAAAATTTGCGGCTGGAAGGCCAGTGAGAAATCTTGTTATTGCTTTTGTTTGTGAAGACTGAGGATGATTATTGTGAAGAGTGAAAAATTACTTTCAAATTTAAGTCTTGGAATGACATTAGCAATGCCAAAGAAAGAAAAGGAGTAAATTAGGGAGGGGGATTTGTGCTAAGTGTGCTTTTGAAAGGTAACATTAAAATAATATTATCTAGTGGTGCTAATACGTAGGTAGAGAACAGAATAAGACTGGCACTAAGGTGAGAGTTTTGATCTGAAGGTATTGATTTGAGAGCTACTGCAATAACTGGATCACAGACAGACAAGAGGGGATCTTGAGGAAGGCCAAATAATAAATTCCGGAAGGGTTGTAGAGGGAGCAGGCTCAGGGCATCCTCAACAGATGGGCACCTGCAACCTGAAAGATAAATGTATGGAGCACTCAGTTCTTGCCTTCCAGCACAGTGAGTGGCCCATATTGGAAACACTTTAATGTATCTACTGAAAGTTCATTTGTCAAGCTTCAGTGCGTGCCAAATCCTCGTAGGAAAACAAGTGACTCTCTTAACCCATGCTCTCTGCATCTGTCCTTCTGTGGCCTGCAGATCCTCTGCCCTCTGCTTCACCTTCCCTTCTCTCTTGTACCTCCTGCCACCTCCCCACACCCATACACCTGTACAGTTTTAAATGTGGAATAGTTGCTATGCAATCTCTATTTTCCCTGGGAAGTGATCCAGCTGGCATTTTAGGTTTTTAATGAGGTCACCAGCTGTCTTTTCATGGCAATGATAACTGACCCCAGGAAAAGTGCTGACCCCATGACCCACATGCACACTAGATAATGCCAATAGCTGTGATGTGACTCCAGTTACTACCTCTCTTACAAAGTCACAATACATGGAAGAGCTTACTTGAATTTTTATACAATCCTAGCTTTACAATTTAGAAGGATCCTATTCATCAACTTATCAAAATCAGTGCCTCCATGAGGAAACTGTACCCTAAAGAAGTAATTTTTAAGGCCACACTTTGAGTCCAAAGCAGATTGAGATTTGGAACCTGAGTCTCCTGTGTATCATTCTTGGTGCTCTTTCCCACAGGTTCTCATCCTGATGGATGTTCTTGTCCTAAGAATCCTTTTGAGACATGAACCTCTTTTTAAAAGCTGCAATGCCAACCTATTAATATACAGTGAAAAAATATCATACCAAGTGAACCACAAATGTGATCCATGTAACTCATCTGCAGGAAAAAGCACATAGGAAGATTTAAGTCAGTGCTTGCTTAATGATGATGTCTTTGGATCCAGAAGTAACATTCTTAGTGGCTAGTGGACTGGGCGGGGAGGGGGGGCGGCGGAATTTTTGTAGGCAAAATCTGCCTCATAGTCTAGTCTATATCCATGACATGTAACTGCTCCCCTCCCTGCCGAAACTTATTTGCCAACTCATCCACTCATTTATTCAACAAGTATGGACTGTGAAACAATTATGTGGTAAGAACTATTCTAGTTTTTGTTCTGGGCATCCGTGAGCAAATCGGACCAGGTGTGAGCCCTAATGGAACTTTCATTCTAGTGCATGGAGTTGGGGCCTAATAAAACAAGCAAGTCAATGTTTCAGAGGGCAGTGAGTTCTACAGAGAGCAATGATGCAGGGTAAGTGAAACAGGTAGCACCTGAATGAAGAAGGCAGATATTCCTTCTGGGTATAAAACCGGTACTGTTATAGCTTCTTTTCGTTTTCTTGCATCTTTTCTCTTTGCAATAGAGACTGTACTTTTCATCTGCTCTAAGTTAGCATTGACATTGGGTTAAATGTCTTTTTAGAAAAGGACTTCCATTGGTATTATGACATAAAATTAGTAATACAGTTAAGAAGCACTATGAATCCTAAGCACCTCCCACCTGCAGAGGGAGCAGGCTCAGGGCATCCTCAATAGATAGGTACCTGCAACCTGAGTAACTTTCATTTTTAAGTTTAGACTTTGAACCCCCTGAAGTCTCTCTGGAAAGACGTCCTGGCAAACCATTTTCTGAGAGATACCAAGCCAGGAATGAGACAGTCAGGCCCTGGTTTGGGCAAAGTAGTGAGTTGGCTGAAGTCCATTAAGTGGTGTCAAATGATGACTTTCATTCTCATCATAAAAGTAAGTATTGTTTCTTAATGAGGTCTTCCCAAGGCCCTTCAGTCATCAATAGTCACTCACTTAAAGGTCTCCAAGGTGCCCAACATAATCTGCAGTAAGTGTAGAAAATACATAATGTGATCAGCACTCTCACTCTAAAATGAGAGAATTTCCCTCTGTGTTCTTCAAAGTGTCCCCTAGCATGAGTGTTTAATGACTCCAAGACTCCTTTCTTCACATGGGAGGTGTTTAAAATGTTTAGTTCCTTTTCCCACCACACCCCAACCCTGAACCTGCTCCAACGACTAAATAAAGCAGAAGCAAAGAAACTAACTCTGACAGAGCTTCTCCGAGTAACCTCAGAGGTTCTCACAACAATGCTCTGAAGAAGACTGTATTCTCCAGGTCAGGACACTGACACCCCAAGGGTTTGGGATTTGCATATACATTACAATTAGTAAGCAGTAGATTGTGGATTCCTATCAGGGTTTGACTCCTGTGGTCTTCTTCCTGCATTTCACCTACCTTTGAGCAAGACTGGAAGTTCATGAATGAAATAGTGTAGATGGAGAACCATACTAGGCAGGACAGCTTTGATACAGAACCAGCCCATAGAACTTGGCATTTATTTGCACGATTCTATACTCTTCACTTTTACCCAACCATTTTCCCCAGACTGTATTAGTTTGCTATTGCTACTATAACAAGTATCACAAACTGGGCAGCTTGCAACAACAGAAATTTATTTTCTCACAGTTCTGGAGGCGAGAAGTCCCAAGGCAAGGTATCAGCAGGGCTATGCTGTCTCTGAAGGCTCTAGGGGAGGAATCCTTCCTCACCTCTTCCAACTTCTGGTGGTTGTCAGCAGTTCTTGCTGTTTCCTAGCTTGTAGATGTATCACTTCATTCTCTTCCTTGTCTTCACATAGCATTCTGCCTGTGTGTCCATGACCAATTTTCTCTCTTCTTATAAGAACACTAGTCATTGGATTTGAGCCCATCCTAGTCAAACTTGACTCCATCTTAACTTGATTACATCTGCAAAAACCAATTTCCAAATGAGGTCACATTCACAGATTCTGGGGAGGTTAAGATCTGAACATATTTTTCCTGGGGGTTTTAGTTCAACACATAATAGTCCCCCAAAACATTAATTGCAATGTGTTTGCTTACATAGGTATCCTTGTGTTCATCAGCTTTGTGTGTAAATACAAATTTGTCTTGAGAGATTTTCTTAACCTTCCTTTGTGAATATCACATTTACTCTGACAAATCACCTTGTTCTGTCTAGTGTTGTATCTTATTTCTGAACCAATAATCTTGTATTGTCAGTATTCTAATTTCAAGACTAGATGTAGTTCACCAAACTAAAATGTTATGTCTACCTCAAATATCTTTTCCACAAGAAAGTGTAGGTCTAGAAGTTAGACAGGCTGGGTTAAAGCATGAAGCTGACTGGCTTTGTGACCTTGGGTGAGTCACTTCACCTCTCTGGGGTTTCATCTTCACATACTTGAAATAAGAAGACTGAATAAATGCTGTTTATTCTCTTGAGGTTCCAAGTCTTCTTTTCCACATGTCTGAAATCTCTTACTATTAGGACTTTTTTTTTTTTTTTTTTGGTTAGAAAGATGTCTCTGGAAGAAATAATTTTTAGCATCATCTTGT